CACGTCGTCGACGACGATAACGATGACAATGACGCGCTCGCGAGCCGTCTCTCGCAGACGCCCGAGTCCATCAACAAGATATTCGCACCCGTAAGCAGGGCTCAATTTTAACAGTCGTCCGGTCGTCCGTGACGACTGGATTTTCTCTCGGGCAACTACAAATTGCTTCCGTGGTTGTCCGGTGTCCAACCTCTATAAAAATGTTATATTCATAAAGGCCGCCGCACACCAGCCGATTTTTACAAACGATGAAGCGATGAAGCGATGTAGGTGTGCGCGTTCATTTGTAGACAATTTTATTTTTATCGGGTGATCGTTCCATGTTTGATTTTGAACCGATGAGCCGATGAGCCGATGAACCGATTTTAAGGCCGCCGCACACCTACATCGCTTCATCGCTTCATCGCTTCATCGTTTGTAAAATCGGCTGGTGGGCCTTAATACGAGCGTTCATTTTACATGCGGCCAGGGTTGCACAATACGCTGCAAACGTACATGTCTAGACGCATTGTCTGGCTTGCTTGATACAAAGTATAACATCACGTGTTTAACAACACAATGTTTCGTGTTAATTTTCAATTTTTACTCATCTGTGACTTGACACAGTGTTAGTAATGTTAGTAGTGTTAGTTAACTTAATGTAAATGTTTTTTACTTTTAATTACTATTATTATACGTCATTGATCCCAGCATCATTTACCACATTACCAATATTTTATTCTCATCATATAATGAGTGAAACAATGCAAACGGCCATGTCTGCTGTCACTGCAATACGTACAAAATGTACATGATTAGGCCTTTTGCTTTACAACACTGAGCATCACGTGAGCAGAGCGCATGCAGCACATGTTTAAATAATATCCGGACAACCAAAACTCTTGAGGGACAACCATATGCTACTCCTTGGTTGTCCTCCGGACAACCCCAAAAAAACCTTAAAATTGAGCACTGCGTAAGTGGTGACCGTCGCTGGCGAAGTGGTGACCGTCGCTACCAAGGTGGTGACCGTCGCTGGCGAGGTGGTGACCGTTACTGGCGAGGTGGTGACCGTCG